TTCTCTCTCTCTCTCTTCTCTCTCTCTCTCTCTCTCTCTCCTCTCTCACTCTCTCTTTAAAAAAAAAATACAAAAAAGGGTCTGGGATGTGGCTCAGTGGTAAAGCACCTGGGGTTCAATCCCTGGTAGTGAAAAAAAGAAAAGAAATCAAGTTGCTGAAAATCAGAATAAAATTAGCAGGTTCCTAAACCCTCCCTTCTTATCTAAGCTTAATCCCTGAGATGACCACTTTTAATGTTTTCAAAAACTGTATTTTCTGGTTTTTACCATAAAAAGGAAAAGCATTATGTACTTTTCATAGTCTGTTGACTGGAAGTCACATGACATGGGAAGTTTTTGCTTTCTTCACACTGTTCCTTGCCTCCTTTTAGACTCCCAGCATAGTTTATCACTGATACCCTGAAGTCCGAATTCAGATGTTTGTGGTTCCTAGAAATATAGAAATATTGACTGTTGATTCATAGGGTAACATGCTTTCAGTTTTTTCTTGAACAGCTTTTCATTTTCCTGCAGTTTCCTGTTTTTCTTGTTTCCTCATCTTATTGGGACATTGTGTATCATCAGGACTGTCGATTTGGGGTGAGCAGGAGTTTCCATCTCGGGGAGCTCTTCGTCTCTGACCCGAGCAGCTGAGTGCCTTGGGCAGTTCCCTCACACACCTTCCTGGGTGCCCTAGACTGGCCTGGTGGGAATCGGGAGTCCTGCTTCACTCTTCCCGCCCTCAGCCCTTGTCATCTAGACATTTTCTTAGTAGTTGTTTGGAGGATGACAGTTGACATGCTTTTGTTGGGGTAGATTTTAGTTTAGCTCCATTGACCCTCCTTCCCAAGGAGGTAGACCAGTTCATTGTCAGGAAGACTTTTCTACTGACTGTGATTACTTTTGAATGGGACAGACAGAATGGGACAGCAGAAGTCTGTGAAACCTCTTTGGGACTGAAAGTGTACCAGGTGAGGCTGGATGAGGTGAGACTGCGCATACAAATGTTTGTTGAGGTACTATTATGTGCACATCACTGTATGTGGTACGGATAGGCTCTGACCTCAGGCAAACCAGATATATTTGTGGAAGGAATGGCATAAGAGGTGGAGGGGAGGTAACTGTCTTTTAAAATCTACTCAGGCCCGGCTGGGCGCAGTGGCGCACATATGTAATCTCAGCAGCTCTGGAGGCTGAGACGGTTCAAAGCCAGCCTCAGCAATGGCAAGGTACTAAGCAACTCAGTGAGACCCCGTCTCTAAATAAAATACAAAATGGGACTGGGGATGTAGCTGAGTGGTTAAGTGCCTCTGAGTTCAGTCCCCAGTATCTAAATAAATAAAATGTATCCAAAGAAGTAAAATACATTAAACCAAGAAGTGGACGCAGCAGCAGACTGTTACCAAAGAGAAGCCAAGTGTTGGTTCTGAGGGGAGGAGTCTGGGCAGGTGAGTGGCTGGCTGGGCGGGCGGGCCAGGCCTGTTGTCGGTCAGGAAGCCTGTGCCCTCAGGCCTGTGCGGAGATCCGCAGATGTGTGCCTTGTTGAGTTTTAATATCGAGGGTGGAGATTCAGTTTTTTGGTGGAGTTCTCTCTTTTGGCTTCTTTTTTTGGAATTAGGGATTAAACCTAGGGCTTGGAAAATGCAAGGCAAGACGAGATTCAGTTTTTTTAAAAGAATTTTTTTAAAAATTTTTTTACATCCATGGAATTGATCATATATGATCATTTGATTTTTCTCGTATTAGTAGCTTTGTGAGTATTGATCACCTTTGAGTTCCCAGGAAGAATTCTATCTGGTCTGGAATGGCACCTGCTGGATTCCCCTTTCTAGTAGCTTACGTGGAACTTTCCTTTTCATATTTGTCATGTCATTTTTGTGGCTGTTTGATTCTGTGGCTGGGAGGGCCTCAGGAAGAGCGCCTGGGGGCCTGCCTCTGGGGGCCCAGGGGGTGCACTGCTGCCTGTGCCTGGTGACACTCTACTGTTTGTACCTGGTGACACTCCACTGGTTGTGCCTGGTGACACTCCACAGGGTGTGCCTGGTGACACTCTACTGCCTGTGCCTGGTGATACTCTACTGGTGTTGTCCTTGTTTTCACTTCCCGAAGCTAGTTGCTCAAACTTCGTGACTTTCTCATGAGATCAGTTTTGGTGACTTACATTTTGCTGGGGAATGCATGCAGTTGACAAGTATTTATTATTTTCCTTATGATTCAAGCACTCTTTTCTGTGCCTGGGACAGAGCAGAGAAGAAAGAGGCCAGCCCCGTCCCTGTGGATTCATTTCCTCCTGTGGGAGTTGATGCAGGGATGGCTTCTGTGGGCAGAGTCTCGGAGGGTTAGGAGAGGAATTTTTAGCTATTACTTTATTTTATTTTTTTGCTGGTGCTGGGCATGAAACCCAGGACCTTGTGCAAGCCAGGTAAGTGTTCCACTGTGGGGTGTACCTCTGCCCTGCTGCTGTTCTTTTGAACTGCATCAGTTGGGTGCTAAGTACATTTGTCATTCTCTCCCTTCCTCTTACTGACTCACCCTGATGGTTTGGGAGCAGCATCTAGAGAGGGCTGTTTCAGGAGGAGGACTGCTTATTGAAGATGAGTATGAAACTGACCCTGTCCTGTCTCTTTGGATTAAAGACGAAGCCCCTTGCCACCATGCCCCATTTAGGGTAGTTTAAACTGTCCGGACCAGGGCTCTTGGTGGGAAAATTTGGATGAAGAATTATAACTAGGTATAATTCGCTACCTGTCCTAGTGATATTGTTTACTTGCTTAATCTGGTAAGCAACTGGATACAATGTTGAATTTCCCAAGGGACTTTTGTACACTTGGTAGTACTTCTACTGTATATGGGCCTCCCCCAACTTGCCCTAGTGTTTCCGAGGACTGTTCCTGCTGTGATTCTGACTGCTCAGTACTTCTAGTCCTCTTACTGGTGTCAGCACAGAACTATGACTATCAAGTACCCTTGCTCTGTCTTCATGGGAGCCAGGGAGACATGTGGAGCGTGTGGTGACCTGTGCTCGCGCCCAGGTGTGTCCTCTGCATGGCCAGTTACTGCTTCACCGTGAAGAAGGGGAACAGTTCCGAAGGTTGGAGTCTGACTTCTTTTTCCTCTTCAGTAGTTTTGTACCAGGGATTAAGTCACTTCACCTCTCTGGCC